CATACGAACATAGGATACTTATTCATGCTGGCCTGTTCATGTTATGAGAAATACATGGGTTTTCTTAAATTAAAACAGATTACAACATCATGTCATGAGTGTAAGTGCATTAGTCTGTTTTGTGAAAATCAGATTTATATTATCTCTGCCGTACAACCCATAACATCAAAACGGGCAAAAGAATATAAAACATGTAAGCTTTCTGTAAATAATGGTGTCTCGTGTCATGTTTATTTTTATGTTTTTTTGTATTTATTTTATTAATTTTAAATACATTTTCTTTTTATACAGTGTCATTCTTTAGTAAATAATTTATAAACAAATAATAATAAAGAGAAGTAATTGCTTTTTAATTTGTTTAGTACAAATCTATTAAAAATGAGCATCGCTATTTGACTATTTAAAAAAGGGAAATAAGTCATGGAAGTGGTTTGAACGTTTGCTTATCTTTGATAAGTTTCATTGTAGGAGAAAGAGGACTCGACTTTCACAGTGGTTAAAAAACGAAGGAAAAATGAGCGTGGGTGGTGTCTATAGAATAAAGATAATCCAACCGCAGCTACGGTAATCTTTTTTACAAAACAAACATCAAGTCAAAAATGCAAGAACATTTTTTTAACTAAAACAATTTTTTATGGTCGGCCGTGGGCCCCTAAATGGCGTGGGCCCCCCCCCCCCCCCGCATTGCGGGGTCTGGCGGCACTGTAGTTCCGCCCCTGGGGGGAGCCTAAAATATTTTTTGGGGGTGGCCTTTTTTTCTAGTTCCGCCACTGGGCTACATGCATTTGTTCATATGATTTTATAGCAGCTACATACATGTAGGGCATTCTTTACAGATCCTCGATCTAGTCTCGTTCTGATAGAAGCCAATACTACACACTACACATGCGTTGTTGACAGATACGTGTGTGCCAGACGGACAGTCCACTGTGGAGTAAAATGTTCAATGGTATTAATTATTTAATTGGGGTTCCTTTGCTATAAATAAAGTAAACCAGTTGATTGTTAATAGTTTGCGTGCATTTCCGAGGCCGTGATGCTTTGATTGTAAGTCTCACATAGTAATCACGTATTTTGTTACGGTTTACACTCGGCACTTTACAAGGTGTGTTACTATGGATTAGCTATGCAGGATAAGTTAATCTTGAAGAGATACTCTCCATAACTTAATATGGATATTTTTTTCGGGTAAACACTCTAGATATGTTACTTTGGATAGGAGAGGCTTACTGTGGATAATATATTTTGAATACATTATTTGGAGAAGGTACAATGAATAAATTACACTGGGATTGTCTCAACCACCTCATCACATAATCCACCAACCACCCTACCACACAACCCACCAACCACCTTACCACACAATCCACCAACCACCCCACCACACAATCCACCAACCACCCTTCCACACAATCCACCAACCACCCTTCCACACAATCCACCAACCACCCTACCACACAATCCACCAACCACACAATCCACCAACCACACAATCCACCAACCACCTTACCACAGAATCCATCAACGAGTACAGCACCATCCTGACATGTGGCTGACATCTTGGCTGACATGACGGAGACATTGTACTGGACATGGCTGACATTCAGCTGAAGTAACGCCTCAGTGTTGTTGGTCAGTTGAAACAAAGATCTGGCAGCCGCCACCTCCACCACACGCTCAGATTCTGGAACAAAAATCACCAGACGCAATAGCACATTGGTTAACATTATTCAAACACAAAATAACTATTAGCGTTTCACTATGTCAATATTTTTTAAATCTTATTTTTATTTAACAATAGTCCTCAGGTTTAAAGTTTTAGCCTTACAAAATGTATACCAACTTGCAAGATTTCAAACTCGTTGTTTTGTAACGTTTTTAAAAAAATCATATTAAAAAAAATTAGATTAAAATCGGTCTTTGTTTAAATATTCTAAGTTCAGCAGACGACAAACCTGAAAGTGAGCTCAGATATTTTGGCGGTCCCGCATCCCTGGAGAAGTTCATCATCACCACCAACATCACCTGAACATCCACGGTTACAATATCTGAAACACATTCGTATTTGATTGGTTTATCTCAGCTTTTAAAATATTGAAATATTTTCACATCAATTATCAGAATTTTACTAGAACAATATGCAACAGATATACAATTTATTGTTTTTTATCTAAACATTGAAATAAATCTTTTCCGGCTGTATTTATCTTTATCTCCTGAAATATTTTGCATATATTCCCTGTGTCTAGGTTAATTCTATCAATAAACAAGACATTACCTTGACTCAAGCTCCTGTCTCGGTCACTGCACGTTGAACAAACAACACTCATGTTGTAAGAACAAATATCAGCGCTAATACATTCCACCCTCTCCACCAGAATTTCTTGTAAAATGTCTTCCATCTGTTGCAATGATGATATGCTCATATTTTTGTAAGAAAACTTCAGCTCTAGTTGAAATGCTGAAGGTCGCTTTGTCTCTGAAAGATATAATCTGGTTGTTATTGAATTCACTCGAATGGTTCTAAGTTAACGAGATCATAACATACAAGTATTTATAAAGCTATAACAGGATAGGATAGAGCGACTGGTTACATTAGGGAAAGCAAAGGCGGCTGGGCACTGAAAAAGTCGACTCTACTTCACCCTTAACTCATAACATTTTAAAGGGTACTTTATTAGCAGCTAGACAAAATGGCCGAAGAGTTCAATCAAGTACCTGAGCAGTCAGGCAAGATGGCTGAAGGGTTCAATTCCGTTTGATGGGACCACATGTAGCTGTTTGCTATCCCACACTTGAAGCTGTTGACCACACCAGACACCAGAGTGAGACCAGGTTTACAGACGATGCTGCAGGTCGTCTCTGTCTTGTAGGTGTTGTCTGTACAGTCCAGTGTCTTGTGGCCAGACCGTAAGGTCAGCGGAAGACATTCTTGACAAAATAATTGGTGGAATTTACACGCATACATTTTGTGAGTGTGTGTAATACAATACAAAATATCAGTTTATTCACATAGCAACAACAAAAAATGTTTGCGACAACGGCATGTGCATTGTCTGTACAGTCCAGTGTCTTGTGGCCAGACCGTAGGACCAGTGGAAGACATTCTTGTCAAAATAATAAGTGGAATTTACACACATACATTTGTGAGTGTGTGTAATAATATTCAAAATGTTAGTTTATGCACATAGTTACAACAACACGCATGGAAGAAGTATTTGTAAAATATCGCACGACTTGCTACGTACTGGCTTTAAAGCTAAAGTTTAAATAAAAACAAATCAAGTAACAGTTTTACTGAGACTTTTTACTGAAGTTTTTATTTAGATATAAAATCAAATCTTGGTCTGAGCAATTACACTCCATCATTCATTTAACTTGCTAATATTGGAAACGCCTTCGGTACCCGTTACACGTGTATTATAAGCTTATAATTTTTTAAAGTTTTACTTGTTTGAGAAAAAATATTTTATAACATAGTTGTTTGTCAAAACGCAATGTGCTTTACTACACGTTTAACGATATTTTAGTGACAAATCAAAGAAAAGACAATAAGATAAAAATCCGACATATTTAACATAACATACGCTATCAGTATCTATTCGAAAAATATAAAATCACATTATATACATTATTAGTCAACACAACACCATATTAATGCCCACGCGGATTAATTGACATAGACGATTTCGTTAAAAATACGTCTATTCAATAGTATGTTTGTTGATCTATAGTTCTAAATCAAAATTAAATGAAGTAGTGCGCATCTTATTGAAGACGACGTCATTCGAAATGTGTATTATTGTCGAATTTCTATTTTTATTCTTTATTATTAACCTTGTCATGATGCTATTTTTTTATTTTCTTAATGTGACGTCATTCTGATAGCTTTTGTGCTACTTATCTGCTTTTAGAACGTTCTTGTTAGAAACAAAAAAAACTCCGGTTGCATAATGAAAAATGTTTTTCTCATTCGAATACGCCGTTATTTTTATTTTCAGTCTATAAATATAATTTAGTTTATACATTTAATACATCCAACATATTATTTTCAACAAAAATCCGTATCTTTAAGTTATCCATATAGCGCTGAATATATTGATCTCATAGCCTCGGAAAATAGGACGATGATAGAGAGAGAAAAAAGTGCGCACATGGGCCTTTCTATATTAGGATAGTATGTCTTTTAAAGCGTTGAATTGAGTTTATGTTTTAGAGAGATTCAGTACTTGGACATTCCACAGAGTTACATTTCCTGGAACTCGTGGCTTGGCTGACGTCACACTCGGTGCCGCCCATGCTCGCCGCTGGGCTATCACAGACACGCCTACGTGTAGAGGTACCGCCCCCACATGAGGCGCTGCATGGGGACCATTCAGACCAGCCTCCATAGTTGCCGTCCACTGGGAACAGAGATCGTAAATTGATTAACATCTTGTGTGTGGTGTTTTGAAATGAATGAATTATACATTACTGACTCGTTACCAGTGTTGAATAATATGGCATATGATCAGCAGAGGCGTAGCGAGAGCGGGCGGGGGGTACATATGTCCCCCGCCGCCGACGCTAGAGGGCGCCAAAATGGATTTGAAAAAAAAATTAGAAGCTCATTTTAGCTGCAGTTTTGCATTATAAATATAAAATTATATGGGGGGGGGGCGCCAAATTGAAAGATTGTCTCCCGGGGGGGGGGGGGGGGACAAATTGAAGGTTTGTCCCCTGAGGAGGGGGCGCCAAATTGAAAGTTTGTCGCCGGGCGCCGGGAATGGTCGCTACGCCTCTGATAATCAGGGACTATATTTATGACAAATGCTAAGACAAGGTATGTGACATGTTTTTAGAATAGCGAGGTTTTAAAAACAAATATTTAAGACAAAATTTATTACAATATATTTAACAACATTCGTGACACATTTATAATAAGCTGAATGCGAAGATGTACAATAACATTTTTAAGAACATTTATGGCAAGATCTATGATATGTTAAGTTACCGTATTTTTTCTGAAAAAAAGATTTAATTTCGACAAGATTTACAACAATATCCCCCGTGTTTTACCTGGACACTTGAAGCCATAGCAGAGCTGGACCTCGTCACCCAGGCCCAGACAGCCCAGTCCGTACTGGTCAGGTGGGGGGTTGTCACACTGTCTAATTCTTGACCTTTGACCTAAGCCACAGGAAGTGGAACATGCCCGCCAAGTGCTCCACTCACCCCACCCACCGTTGGCTGGAAAAAGTTGTGAACATAGCATTCGTATAATTCGTATTTCAACACATTTTCATAATTAATTTAAAAAATCCACACAAAAAAACAAAACAAAAAAACGCAGTTGACACAACAATAGCTTTTAAACAGATTTTTTTTGCAAGCGCTTTTTAATTAATGAACTGCTAAACACAAATTAAATTAGCTGAGAAGTTGTCTTTTATGAAATTGAGGATTGCTATTCTCCTCCCATAAGAATATTTATTACAACAAATTATTTATAATTATTAGTATACCATAACCTTAAATAATCTACACCTGTATGAGGGTAAAAGTAAGTTCTCGAACGGATTTAAATTTAATAAATGAAATCTACGACCAAATAGGACATAATTTTAAACAGTATCTTTAAACTAAAATGTACATTTATGGTATAAGTATTTATTTAGTATATCACAGTGGTTCTTAACCTGGGATCTATCGAACCCCAGGGACTCGTCGAGTCAGTCTCAGCAGGGGTTAGGCGGAGGCAAGACATACACCCTGATCTTGATTTTCAATCGGATTTTGCCAGTGCGGACGAAAAAAATATTAAGAAGAGTTCAATAAAAGAACATATGAAACTGGTGGGGTTCGTTACCCCAAAAAAAGTTAAGAACCACTGTTCTAGCAGAAAACTTTTTTATATTTTAAATTGCACATTTTTGTGCAGCATTTCTCTCGTCAATACAACTCGTAAGAGGCGTAGCAAAGAGGGGGGGGGTACATATGTCCCCGGGCGCCGACCTTAGGGGCGCCAAAATGGGTTAAAAAAGTTTAAAAGCTCATTTTAGCTGCAGTTTTGAATAGTAAACATAAAAAATATATGGGGGGGGGAGGAGCCAAATTGAAAGTTTGCCCCCGGGCGCCGGGAGGGGTTGCCACGCCTCTGCAACTTGTCGACGCTTCCCTAGTTTGGAAACCTCTGTTATTGATGGAAAAAATAGTAACAAACATAACCGACATTTGTCGACACCTACGAACAACCTACCGACAGTTTGGTCACACAACAGCCCTGTGAATCCTGTCATACAGGAACAGCTGTATCTCTTCTCGGCCACCAGATTAACGCAGGAAGATCCATTTGCGCATGCGCTGTTCCGGCAGTAGTCTGGTGGTATCTGGCACCGCCGACCGGACCAACCTTGGTCACAGACACAGGTAAAGTCGTCCGGTCCATCAAAGCAGGTGCCATGGTCACCACACGGGTCCCCAACACAGTCGTTGTAGGCTGGAATATCAGACACGGCAAGATTGTAATGGTGCTAGCTGATCCTGTTTTAGTTTGCAAACATTTCGCTGACGAAGAATGGTTAATCTCTAGTCAATAAACAGATAACCATAGTGGAAAGTTAAAACCCCTTTCACAACCTCATCCATTGAACTTAGGCCTAATACAACCCTAACCCAATAACAGAAAATAAACACCTCACATTACACTCAGACCCCCGTAGAAAATAAAAACAACACATTAACTACATGTTTATTCAATTAAAAAGCAATGGCACGTTAAGTCTGAAGTACTCTTTACGAACATTTAATGTCTTATTTCTACAGGCTACACAAGTTGAGAATCCTCAACTAAATTTTGATTATTAATTTAGAAAGTGTTCATTCCTGAACTTGGTATTTAACTGGTGATCTAAATATCACAAGAAAAATTAAACTTACTGTCACAAGAACTGAGTTTTAAGAGAACCTTACCCAAACACACAAAAACTTACTGTCACAAGAACTGGGTTTTAAGAGAACCTTACCCAAACACACAAAAACTTACTGTCACATGAACTAGGTTTTAAGAGAACCTTACCCAAACACACAAAAACTTATTGTCACGTGAACTGGGTTTTAAGAGAACCTTACCCAAATACACAAAAACTTACTGTCACATGAACTGGGTTTTAAGAGAACCTCACCCAAACACACAAAAACTTACTGTCACATGTACTGGGTTTTACGAGAACCTTACCCTAACACACACAAACTTACTGTCACAAGAACTGAGTTTTAAGAGAACCTTACCCAAACACACAAAAACTTACTGTCCCAAGAACTAGGTTTCAAGAGAAACTTACCCAAACACACACAAACTTACTGTCACAAGAACTGGGTTTTAAGAGAACCTTACCCAAACACACACAAACTTACTGTCACAAGAACTGGGTTTTAAGAGAACCTTACCCAAACACACACAAACTTACTGTCACAAGAACTGGGTTTTAAGAGAGCCGTATCCACTACATGAGCTCCTAGTGCATTTTGGGTAACTTTCTTTTTACATGACGTCACAAATTCTTGTACTTCTTGTGCACTTAAGGCCACTGGCGTCAGTTGCACAGAACTAAGAATTATTTCTATAACAATAAATAAATATATTTGTAAATGAATGCATTAAAAAATTTGATTTTAATAGTAGCTAGATGTAGCAAGCGCTCTATATTCGAAAACATATAACTATATCTGTATCTCTCTTTCTCGCTATATATATATATATATATATATATATATATATATATATATATATATATATATATATATATATATATATATATATATATATATATATGAAACACATTTGATACTTCATCCTTTATCCCAGGAGTTCTGTTTATTAAAGTAAAGAGATGAGTAACACTTACTGTTTTCAACAAAGAGGAAAGCGTTGCCTTCAAACGTTAACTTGATTGTCTTTGACTGAAGGTCCTTTACCCAAAGACCTAAGAAATTGGCCACTGGCTTGCCGTCAAGGTACAGTGTCACGTTCTCGTTGACATAGACCAGGGCGAAGTGATACCACTTTCTGGTGAGTAAAATATGAGACACCATTTCCTGGTGAGTACACTATGAGATACAACTTTCTGGTGAGTAAAATATGAGATACCACTTTCTGATGAGTAAAATATGAGATACAACTTTCTGGTGAGTAAAATATGAGATACTACTTTCTGGTGAGTAAAATATGAGATACCACTTTCTGGTAAGGAATATGTTAGATACCATTTTCCATTTTCTTTAATGAATATGCTATTCTCTCCCTCCCTCCCTCTCTCTATCCCTCTCTCTCTCCATCTCCCCCCTCTCTCTCTCTCTCGTATATGATGTATACCGACTCAAGCTATTTAACATTAGCCATGTTACAGGCTTTTGCTTCCTCCCCCAGTTCATCAATCACCTGTTTTGGGCTTGAGAACTGGGGACAACCAACGGTTTTTCGGGTCAAGCACTAGACAATGCCATAACCAGATGAGGGATTTGATATTTGATATTTGAGTGATATACTAATACAATGCAAGTAAAGTATATAATAAATGATGTCATAGACCATCTAAATTTCAAGTTATATATTAGTGCGATTCTTCTTTTCACTACTTGGTTGGTTTAAAATATATATGTATACACTTAGTAGTTTGGGTTTTATTTCGTCATATTTCTTTGGATGTCAACAAAAATGTACTGAACTTTTCTATAATGAAAACATACCTGATATTCCTGCTGTCTGGCACATAGACTGGCAACAGGTAAAGACCGATGGCATCGAGGGTCAGGTACGCGGCGCCAGTACGTGGCTGGAGAGAAAACTCCAGGTTCATCTTGGGCTCCTGGGACTGCAGGTAGATCCAGGACATCATGGTCAGCTGCTGGGGTCGGTCGTCGTAGATCTTGATGTAAGGGTAGGTCATGTTGATGATGACGAACAGGTCGAAGTCTGAGGAGAGGTGGATGGTATACAAGGTTAGGTCAAGGTCAGTGACGTCGATCTTGATGTAAGGGTAGGTCATGTTGAAGATGACAAACAGGTCAAAGTCTGAAGAGAGGTGGATGGTATACAAGGTTAGGTCAAGGTCAGTGTCGTAAGGTTAGGTCAAGGTCAGTGACGTAGATCTTGATGTACGGGTAGGTCATGTTGATGATGACGAACAGGTCGAAGTCTGAATAGAGGTGGAGTATTTTTTATTAGGCTGGTATACAAGGTTAGGTCAAGGTCAGTGAAGTAAATCTTGATGTAAGGGTAGGTCATGTTGATGATGACGTAAAGGTCGAAGTCTGAAGAGAGGTGGAGTATTTCAGAGATGTAGATTGTTACGTAATGTAGTGCTGGACTGACGCATTCTGGTCAAGGTAAGAGTTTTATTTCTGTCGGTGTCAATGTTAAGGTCAAGGTTAGGATTCAGATAAAGACGATGAGTAGGGATACCTTCAGGAAAAGAGTTAGGGTTAGTATCAAGACAAACGATGGGGCTAGATTTAGTCTGTGGTTATGATTAGTGATGCGGAGGTAGCGATTTTATTTATTTTATTTAACAATATTGAGGGGGTGGATTGTGACTCGCGAAGTGTATGGGTTTTTATGACAACATACAACAATAACATGGGGAGATGGGGTGTTATTTATTTAATAGACAAGAAACGTCATGTTCGAAAATTTACGTTTATATTAAAGTCAATATGAGCACAAGTAATGGAACTCTAGTGGCTGTTAGAGTGTATACAAAACACACTTTCACACTCGTCTTGTGACGTGGCTCCAGTGTTGAGTGTCGACATGCCGTACGGACAAATCTCACAGAATGTTGCAGCAGAGTTTGGCTGGAAGGTCCCACGGCCACACGGGGTGCAGGGCTGACGACCTCCGTTTGGGGAAAATTGGCCAGGCTGGCAAACATCTGGGTCAAATAAAATATGTTTGGTATGTAAAATTGAACTGTTTACCAATTCGACTAAAATGTAATTCTATGGAACAGAGTTTCTTCCAGGCATTCCCCCCCCCCCCCCGAACGAGATGGAATTTATATAGTAAACATACACTTTTACTAGTGTCCGCCCCCCCCCCCCCCCCCCCGAGAAAGTGCCCCCCGGAGAAAAAATTCTGGAAGAAACACTGCTTTGGAATAATATACTCTGGTCATAAACCTACTGCTATAATATCAACAACGACAATTATGTTCAATAAATAATTAAATTAGTTAATTAATATCAAAGCGTTTCCCCACCTTGACAGTAGGGCCCAACGTTTCCTGCCCACGTCCACTGCACCTGGTCGTAGCCAGGTATTTTCTCACACCTGATGTTGCTGGCACCGTGAGGCAGGGAGCCGTTACTGCACGTGACGCTGCACACGGCACCATACACAAAGCCATCACTGCAGTTGTAGACAAGCTGACCATCAGCGCTGGTGTTGGGGTCATTGCAGTACAGACCTTGAAGTTTACAATTACAAAATATTGCTGACATTACTTACAATGTGTATTAAATTTAGCTTACATTAAGTGTGCATTAACGTATATTAACTACTACCACTTTCTGGTGATTAAAATAAGTATTTAATACTCGACCTCATGGAAAAGGCAAAAAATATAAGATCGTTGACATACAATGGAACTATTTAAATGAAAAGGTAACAGAGTTAAACATTTAAATGGATATTTCTTTTAAATGCGTATACCATTGAATACTTAGTATACATACGTTGTTTTGGGGAAAAGTTATGTTGTTAACAAATCGCTATTAAAGAATAGAATGTATAAAGTATTTAAAACTTGATGGGTTAAAAAAAAGTAAAAAAAATAGAACGTTGACATACAATGAAACTATTTAAAAGAAAGCGTAAGAGAGATAAACATTTAAATGGATATTAATATTAAATGCGTATACAATTGCATACTTAGCAAACCTAAGTTGTATTAGGGTGTAAAATTACATTGTTTAAAAATCGATAAATCATATTCCTTACACAGAGACCATAGGCCTAGTGTAGAAAAATCTATCCCATACAAAAAAAAAATGCCTAAAGTAGTGTAGCTCACTAAATAACCTTTAAACAAAACTTGTTCACAAAACTTACTTTTCACTGTGACATTAAACCGGCATGTTACTGTGTTGTTCTGTCTGTCTGATGCTGTGAGCGTCACCATGGTAACGCCGATACCAAACGCTGACCCTGATGCTGGGTCACCCACCAGCTTGAGGTTTTCTCCTGAGTTGTCCAGCACGTCTGGCAGTGAGTAGTTGACCAGCGTGCTCGTGCCCAGTGCTGGGGCTGACGTCACCATGTTGGGGGTACAGCCGTACGGGAAGGTGGGGGGTTCGGTGTCTGTAAGTAAAAAAAAAACTAAACTATTCAAGGAATTTAAATAAGGCAATAAATATAAAATATAGCTATTGATAGAAATTTAAAATAAAATGTTTCTATAACCAACTATAATGGCATTTATATAGTTTTAGCATAGTCAGAGATCTCTGGTAAAAATTGATACAGATTTTTAGTTTTTTATAAACATTTTTTTAATTTGATTTCTCTACTGTACAAACTTCAAATTTACCCATATTAATGTCATTTCCCTATTCATAGATCTATTTCAGTTCGGTTTTATTTTTTATATTCTGTAATGTACTTTGAAATTAGCTTAATTCTTTTTGTCAACAAGCATTTTTTTGACCTAAACTCACCGGAAGACTGAAATAAAACCCTTAATACTGTCATGTATTGATATAATGTTGCAAATCTGCAACATCTCCAAACTCATGTTACCACGACAAGGGTCTAACAAAATAAAATTTTAATATTAAGTAAGCCTCTAATCAAAAAGATTTTAAATTACCCAAACAATAACCTGGCTGTGACCACGTGACCTCAGAGCTGCAGTAGATGTTGACAGGTGATGTCCGCAGGTAGCCTGACTCACAAGTGAGCGAACATGAGTCACCAGAACGTTGACCGTTGCAGACGTATTGGCCGTGGCTTACCGCTGGAGGCTTTGGGCAGATGGCTGAGGTCAGAAAACAAATCTCTGTATCTTGACATATTCTCATAAATATGTAACTCCAGATATGCGATCGTAAATTTAACTGTAAATTTGTGATTGCTAGCTAGGGAATGATGATTTGAATGTTTTGCTTATGCATGCCCGTCTTTTCAGCACATAATATATTCTTTATATATTAGTTGTCTATTCATGCAAACAACAATCGAGTGTATACTCAAACAAATTTTTGAGCTTTGTTGGCCACATACTGTAAACAATTCTTTGAAAAAGTTTATAAGGGTCTAAAAAATGATGGTTGTAAGCAAAGCCAACATTAGATGAAGTTTAGATATCTGGTAACTAAGTGCTATAATACCCGTCTTGTTAATCACGTGAGATTAACAATCTAATCCACGTCTAGTTAATCTCGTGTGACTGTCAAATCCAAGTCTTGTTAATCTGGTGTGATCGCCTAATCCATCTCACTGTCAAAGATTAAAAAGTGTCTTAACAGAATGTTCTAGATGCTAGAGACTCACGTATACACGTAGGTTGATGACCGCTCCAGGTTTGGTCTCCAAGACACTGGCTGATGACGTCACCATCAAGTTGATAGCCAGAGTCACACTTGATTGAACAAACGGACCCGAAGATGTTTTCGTTAGAACACGTGACCTGCCCGTTGCTGGGTGCCACCATGACAGTGCAGCTTTTGACTGAAAAACGTCGGAAAGGGAGAGGTTGTAAAATATACAGCCTGAGATTCTTCCAGGCATCTCTTCGGGGGGGGGGGGGGGGGGGGGGGGGGGCGGAAGGGTGGCTCTGCTCCCCGAAGAAGGTCTACCTGCCCCACCCCCGAACGAAAAAATATATACTTTTAACAGTGTCCTCCCCCCCCCCCCCCGGAAATTTTAGTCCGACCCCCCCCCCCCGAATATTTCAAGTGCCCCCCCCCCCCCCCCCCGGAGAAAAAAGTATGGAAGAAACACTGTATACAGCAATATGTATTTAACTTAACGCTGTACAAGTATTTAAAAAATAATCAACTTTTAAATGTAAATAATTTATGTTTAAACTGTGAATAATCAAAACATTGACTAGACACTGACCGACACACTGTCCAGGCGATGTCCAACTTTTGTTGGCTAGACACGTGATGCCATTTCCACCAATGACCGAGTAGCCCTGACTACAAGACACATTGCAGACAGTTCCATAAGACAGGTCTGGAGTGCTGCAGACAAAGACTCCATGTTGTACCTGACTTGGCTGTCCACAAGTTATGGCTGGAAAAATTATTTCAAAATGTTTTATTGCTCTCAAAATGTTCAATACTTTCATCAAAGTCCGGGCCACAAGAGCACAGTCGAAGCTTTCTAAGTTATGATTAACGTGAAATCTATTCACTTAATTTTTTTTAGGCGTGGAATGGACCACTATTTAAAGCAACAAACTTCAGACTTTCGCAATTATTCCTGAGTCAATTAAATATAATGTGGCCTAAGAAAATTGTTAACACCAAAATATGACGAGAGAAAAAAAAAACAAGCAAAACCTTATTGGCACAGAAATACACCAACAAAAAACATCATCATGGAGACATTAGTTTGGAATCCCCAAGGAGAAAGAAAAGTGTATTAACAAAAAGAAACATGGAAAATATTAGGTGTCAATGAAACAAAAGCAGCTGGAACTACTTGGACCCAACTTGAAGGAAGTGCCCCGAACCTAGTGAGTTAAATTGATGCTATTGCCCAATCATTTAAATTTATATTTTGAAAAGACTGACACTTAACCGTAAAACAAAGTTATTGAACAATCAAATCAAAACTAAAATCAATAATTTGAACCGACAATGTTTAAAAGAGGTTTTTTATTTACTAAATGTCATGTGCTCTTTTATAATTAAAAATATACTGCTATCTCTGACTAATTTGTGACCTTTGATTTAAAAAAAACCCACCTTTGCACGTGGGTTTTGGCGCGCTCCACGTCTCGTTCTTCAGACACTGGACACTGGAGGCACCGGTCAGCTGATAGCCTGGGTCACACGAGTACTGGCACTCGCTGCCGTAGATGTTGGCGTCCTCGGCATTAGTACAGGTAGCTCTACCGTTATACAGGTAGGTGGACTGGAAAGGGCATCTATACACTGGAGAAAGCAAGAGTTATCTGCAGTTAATACAAGGTATAAGATACATGGGAAGCAAATGCATAAGACTTTAACAAAGTCGACTACTTGGTACAGGTAATTCTACCGTTATACAGGTAGGTGAACTGGAAGGGACATCTATACACTGAACAAAAAAACATGGGGTAAAAGTAAAGTCTCTTTTCGAACCTTACAGTCCATGAGGCAAGTGAAGTAGTTCATCTATTTATGTGACCTATAAAGGGACAATTGGTCAGCACTATGCCCAGCCGCCTTTACTTTCCTTAACGTTAGGTATCCATCATAGCTGGGTGGACTCAGGGACATTCTGCTTACTTAAACCAGAACTCAATCTCTAGACTTTCGGGTTATCAGTCTAGCGCTCTACCCCTGGCTCACGCGTCCCAAAAACAAAATGTATCTCGTTTTATTACACTGTTTAAAACACAAGGGAAGCAAATTCACAAAGTTTAACAAAGTGCAAGAATTGTTTTGGTGGCTTCCCTTTATGCAATTTTTTTAAAAATAAAAATATTTTCCCATTCTGTATTTAACTGGTTTTATCTCTTTTATCTATAGGCATTAATTGACATAAATTTGGTTCTCCTCGTCACGACAATAATTATGACAGTAATTAAGAGGATAAAAATAAATGTACTATAAGCTGCATCACATTTTGAATCTATCCAGCTAAACACATTGAGCTAAAATTTATAAAGAACTATCCAGTCAGATGGTTAGGACATTATAAATCAATCAATAAACTGTCGCTTTGTAGTATGAAACCAATAATAAATCTCAACGTATCTTGCAAGATGCGAAAATGCGAAACAGGTATTGTTACTAACAATAGACACAACTCACCCTTGACTGTAAAGTTGACTGAACAGAGTGACGTCAGACCAGACGAATCTTTAGCAACAAACGTGATCACGTGGTTCCCGGCGGGGTGGTCGGACCCCGGGGACTGGCCTTGTACTTGAACTGGTCTAAAATATGAACGTGAGAATTGGTGAGATATACATTGCACAACTGGGGCCGTCCGTAAATAAAGTCACATTCATGGGGTGTTTGGGTGTGGGAGGGGCAGGGGTTTGGAATTTTTCAAAGTGAGACATTAATTATTTCGCTGTTCTTTCTTTTGTTTAAGAAAGTAAACATTAAGGTATCGTTAAACTAAGTTTATAGTTATATTAGGATAGAAAACGTTACTTAATCTTCCAAGTTATATTAAGAAAATAAAATTGCATAATCTTCGTAGTTATATTTAGAAAACACAAGTTACGTAATCTTCCTAGTTATATCTAGAATAGTGTTTTTTCCAGACTTTTTTCTCCAGGGGGAGTGGGGGGGGGGGGGGTGGGGACACTTCAAATTTCAAATTTCCGGGGTGGGGAGGCAAACACTGTTAAAAGTATATATTTTATATATAAATGCCATTTCGTTCGGGGGGGGGGGGGTGGCTGAAGTCTGTCTTGCACCCCGAAGTTTCGTAATCTTTCTAGTTACATTTAGAAAGCAAAAATTACGTAATTTTTCTAGTTATATTTAGAAAGCAAAGATTACGTAATCTTCCCATCCTGGGGGTCGTAAGCTGTGGCCAGTGTCCAGGTCACCTTGGTCGTCAGTTTTCCTTTATCTGCCGGGTACAGCTCGGCCACCAGAGGGCACGTGATCACCTGGGGGTCATCTGTGTCACGTGATAGAAAGAATGAGTAAGTTGAAACACAATAACACATCAACACATCAACACATCAACACAACAACACATACAGAGTTAGCGGTTCACTATGTTTCGACTAACTCCTGCGTTCTAATCTTAAATTTTAGAAATTAAAGTCAGCCCATAATGCCAAAAGAATTGCATTTTGTGTTTAAATCTTGTGTTTAAAATGTGGAATATTTCGATAAAATTAAAATGTGTATTATCCATCATATTTTTTTGTTTTATTGTATTTTTTGTCTGACAAACAGCAAGTAAACAGCCTGACAATGTGAAGACGCAAACACTATACCAACAAACACCTGACAATTACATATCGCAGATACTAGACTCTAGACCATCAAACAGCTGACAGTGAGAAGACGCACATACTAGAACAACAAACGATAGAGAAGCGCAGAGGAGGAATTTAAAGGGAGACACAGAGAGCACAGTGACGGATTACAGAGAGAAGAAAGCTATCAGATGACTGTGACTAGACAGACAGTAGACAGCAGACAGACCAGACAGACAGCAGAGAGAAAACAGACAGTATGCACGCAGAAGACAGAACTCAGAGAAACAGCAGATTAAACAGACAGACATCAGACAATCATCGTACACATATATATATCAGACAGACAACAGACAGACATTAGACAGACAACATGACAAACATCACACAGACAGCAGACAGAACAGAGTGCAGACCTATAGTAGTTGTGTTTTGATTTCCTGGCACCAACGACACATCTAGAGTGATGACGTCCCTCTTGTGACGGTTTGAGAATACTTGGGATGTAGCCACGTCTGTAGAGATACACACATCAACACATCAACATATCAACACATCAAGAAATCAACACATCATCACATCATCACATCATCACATCATCACATCATCACATCATCACATCATCACATCATCACATCATCACATCATCACATCATCACATCCACACATCCACACATCAACACATCAACACATCAACACATCAACACATCAACACATCAACACATCAACAAATCAACACATCAACACATCAACACATCGACACATCATCGACACATCAGCACATCAACACATCAACACAGGGCTCTTGGTTTTATCGAGGTGGGGGGAGGGGTATGTTGGGGGGGGGGGGGGGCGGGAATGTCAGGGGGACTAGGGCATGTTAAGTAGGGAAATTGAAGTAGGAGGTATTAGGGGGAGATTAGGTGTGGAGGACAAAGTGTCTGGGGGGGGGGGGCGATTAGTGGAATACGAGATTATTTGAAGGAGAAGAATTATGTTTTGAGGTCATTGTGAGAAATTTATGCGATAGGTGGGGGGGGGGAGTTTATGTGTGTGTGGGGGGGGGGGTTATGTGAAAAGGACATTATTTGAAGAGGAAGTTATATTGTTAGTGGCTATATGAGGGGATGAGAGGTTATGTAGGGAGGGGAACTTATGTGAGAGGGGTTGTGGGGGAGGTTATGTGGGTAAGAGAGGTTATGTGGAGGAAGGTTACCGAAGTCACAATACATGTAAGATAATTAAAAACCTGGATCTGAACAAATAAAACACACAAGATTCGTCCATTATGGACATCACACGTTAAAGGGTGGCGGTGAGAAAATAGCAGATTTGTGAGAGCAAAACCTTTACGATACACTCGTGGACAGTTTTGGGTAGTAGTGTTGGGGATGGAGCTTTTTGACGTTGTTTTTTTTTTCAGACGTCTGTTGTTGTTTTTTTCGAATGACGTGTGGTGATTTTGGGAGGGGGGGGGGGTTGTAAAAAATAACACGTGACGACCGGCTCCGGGTGACCGTGACCTTTCTAGAATGTATTTACATCTAAGAACAGGTTATAGACCTCGACCTCAATATGCTAATTCGTTTTTAATTACGAGTCTGCCCCCCCCCCTTTAATACAGAATATACATGTAGTTTACACTTCCTGGACTGTACGCTGGAAAAATTTCTATAGCCTTTTCAACATGTCTGCATCTAATATACAACATATATTCGTCTTAAACAAAGGTATTTGTGTCGTCTGTGGGGAGACGGGCCATTCATTTGCTGGGTCGGGGGTCAAGAGGTTCACATGAACTTGTGTGTGTAAAAATAGATCTGGCTTGAATTACTGTTGCTGTGTGCAGTGCCGGCGCCAGGTTATTTAGCGCCCTAGGCAAAGCCAAAACGTATTAAAACGCCACCTTTTACAGAAATTTAATAACATACGTATAAGAAAACAATTAATTTAAAGTGAATATTTTAACTTATAATCCATTGCATACATGTTACAAGTAGACTTCAAAATCTAAACTTTTTTGCCCCCCCCCCCCCCCCCCCCATGAATAGCGCCCTAGGCGACCGCCTAGTTTGCCTTAAAGGTTGTGTATGTAACAAGTTGTGTATGTTAAAATTAAAAGTTGTGTATGTAAAAATTAAAAGTTGTGTATGCAAAAATGGCAAGTTGTGTATGTAAAAACGGCAAGTAGTGTATGTAGCGGTGGAAATAATTAAAAGTGTCCCTTTTAAGGCTTTCACTGAGCATTTCGAATAATGCAAGCCTGATGACTATTGCCCCTTCAAAGTCACGGGTCACTTTACAAATTGAAATATTTTCATGGCGGCCCACTGGGATTGTTGCCGGTATCCCAAGGACCCAGTCCACCCCTGTATCTATGAGAAAGTTGTATGTAGTGTATATGTGTAGGTAAAGGTAAAAAGTTGTGAATGGAAATGACAAGATTTTTATAATGCAGGCTCTTGAATTTGTGGATTTAGAGTTGTGGAGAGACAGTGTCGTGGAAGGGAGGGGTGGGGGGTGGAGGAGCTTGTGGGGGGGGGGGGGGGGAGGGTCAGGGGATGAAAGTAGGAAAATGTGTGTTTGGAAAATGTGTAGCGATGTGGGAAAATGTTTGAGGAAAATATAGTCAACTGTATAGGTGCAATAAAGGGATACCCTAATTAAGTATTACGTGTCCGTGTCAACTTGTTATGCGCCATACAGGCCGTTGACTCCGATTTCAGTCGCGTTTTTCTTTTTTGATTTGCTTCCATAGCCTTTATCCAACCAAGAACATACTACAAGGCAGCAGTTGCTTGATTTTAGAGTTGTCTCTCCTTGAAGAGTGGCTGCTCCCAGCTATCGAGCCTCATCTGCCTGGGTTTCGAACTTTTTTGGTTCAGCAACAATGAGCTTTACAGACTCGACCTCCAAGTATGTAGTTGAGAAGTGTGTTTACATAACTCTGTATGTTTATGTACGTATACGTGTATGCGTGTGCTTGCAATAGTGCTTATGTTTGTGTAAATAAAAAAATCACGTCGCCCTTCTACCTTGCAGCCCCCATCCTGTGTGTCCCTCCATCCTCCACTCCCCATCTCTACACACCATCCGGTCAATGACCCCATCTTCTCTGACCAGCGGACACACTGACCCCTCTGTGACGTCACCAAACTGGACCTCCCCAACCTTTGGCTGACACAGCTCCAGGTCTAGCGCTGGGTGGGGCTGACATCCGGTCTAGGGAATAGGGTCAAAACATTACAAGGTCATAGAAATATTCATCAGGGATGGAAGGTAAATTACGTCTTACTTCCCCTTATTCTAGTGTAACATTAAAATAAAACGTTTAAGATCACACATTTGTTAGAATAACAGGGTACAAAATTTTATAAAATCTTAAACACCACTATGTATTTCGAACCCGCTTGCAGCTATTGGCTTCTATAAATAGCATTGGTAGCCTCTATCCCCTCTCCCAATTTCCCAAGGTCAAATAAATTTCATCTGTAAATATTAAAAAACATTTTAGTTGTAAAACATAAGCTCCCCCCCCCCCACCTGCCCACACAGGTAAGGAATTTTTGTTAGCGTAAGTAGCGCAGAACGTAAATAAGATCCATTACATTCTTAAAGTGGACTTGAAAAATGTGTCATTTATTTTAGCTTTCTGTTGTCTGAAGACTGTTTGAATCTAACGAAGAACGCACTTATAAATCACCGTTTGATTGAAATGGTCATCAATTACTTTTTGTAATAAACAAAAATGTGTATGACGGAGAATGTGGGGGGGGGGGGGGGGGCAGAAGACTGAATGTTGGTGTAGTGACTGGCGTCTGCCGGTGTGGGAGTCAGGAGTGACTCTAAAGTCGCATCCTGGGTCTACTTTCTGTCATGAGTTATCTTCTCCTAGGTAGAGGCTGACACTCTGGGCGCGTATTTGACTGCCACTATCATTAACCCAATGACGCTGTCAGTAGCACTCTTACACTGTCCCTGTCACTCTGCCACTATTACTGCCCATATGCCACTATTACTACCACTATGACAATATCACTGCCCATATGCCACTATTACTACCACTATGACAATATCACTGCCCATATGCCACTATTACTACCACTATGACAATATCACTGCCCATATGCCACTATTACTACCACTATGACAATATCACTGCCCATATGCCACTATTACTACCACTATGACAATATCACTGCCCATATGCCACTATTACTACCACTATGACAATATCACTGCCACTATGCCACTAACACTCTGTCACTATCACTGCCACTATGCCACTATTACTGCCACTCTGACAATATCATTGCTACTCTGCCAGTATCGCTGCCCATCTGCCACTATAATTACCACTCTGACACTATCACTGCAACTATGCCACTATCATTGCCACTCTGCAACTATTAATGCCACTATCACTGCCACTATATCGTTATCACTGCCACTCTAACACTATCAATACCACTGCCAGTATACCACTATCATCGCCACTGACACATTTGTATAGGCCTATATAAAAGCCACGATTCCTCATACCAGTCTAACTAACCCGTCATTTGCCGGATCTTGAAAAAAAAAATTTCGCTAATAATTACTTTATGTTTATGAGGTCATATATTTACCTGTTGATATGCCGCCTGCACTGAATGTGCATCAAGCAGGCAGATAGTGGCCAGCAGGAATTGGGTCACATCAGTTATCCTGACCTATTGTGTGATACACCATTAATAAAGATTAAACAAGTTCTAGAGATATGATACAACACTAATGGATGTATGTGATACACATTAAAAAAGTATTCTACAAGTTATAGAAATATGATACAACACTAATAGATGTATGTGATACACACATTAATAAAGCATTATACAAGTTCTAGAGATATGATACAACACTAATGGATGTATGTGATACACATTAATAAACAATAATAGATATATGTGATACAACCATTAATAAAGCATTATACATGTTCTAGAGATATGATACAACACTAATAAATGTATGTGATACACATTAATAAAGCATTATACAAGTTCTAGAGATATGATACAACACTAATGCAGAGGCGTAGCTAGGGGAGGGCGGGGAGGGCGGCCGCCCCGGGCGCCGACCCTAGGGGGGGGGGGCGCCAAAAGGGGTAGGAAAAAAAATTACAAGCTCATTTTAAGCTGCAGTTTTGAATTATAAACAGTCAAAGTAAAGAAATTTAACGGCTGAGAGCCTTTGCATACTGATTTAACTGTTTTCTACCTTGATTAAGTAACTGTAAAAGGTATATCCTTAAGAAACAGTGACCGGAAAAACTGCCTTCCAGCTTTCCTAGATGGGGGGGGGGGCGCTTTTTTGAAGACTAAAATCGGAAAAATTAAGGAATAAATAACCCATATCACTCAGAAAAGAACCTTGGAACTAAAGCGTATTTTACGATTGTGTAACATAAAAATAAGAATTAGTGACGTTTAAAATCCGCTCTACCATTTTTGTCCAAGATGGTAGGGAGGGGGGGGGGGGCGCTTTTTCACCAACAAAAATCGCAGGATTTGTATTGGATCGGTTACTAGATAACTCTTTTAACACTTAGAAAAGAAATGTGTTTCATTATACAATCAACCAGTCAACGAAATACTCATATCGTATTCCAATGTGAACAATAACTTGTATGACCTTAATCTAACAAACTTATAATCCAAATATATACTATATCATAACAGAGACTGTTCCAAAGATAAAACATAAAAAGTCTGTGCTAAACGATTTAGCACCGCTACAATTTTTTTCTCTGACATTACTAACCATCATCTTTAAAGGATAATGCATCTTAAGGAAAATTTAATTATCGTCGAGTGAAGTTTTAGGGAACGACAATCAAACAGCCAAATTATTTTTTTTTCAAGACTGTCGCACACACATACACACACACACATATATATATATATATATATATATATATATATATATATATATATATATATATATATATTATATATATATATATGTTAGGGGGGTTTAAACCGAAGAGGTGATCTTATTCACTCATCCGTGCACCTTTGCGTAGTGACAAAGGGGTCTAATAGACCTGAGCGAAACTAATTTACATCTAAACAACACCAATATTAAACTAAAAATAAAACATAGTAAACACACATAATATGCATTTATTTATCTTTGTTTGACGTCACCAAGGTTTATATGTTAAAAGCAAAGACACAATACAAATAAGACCTGGCCAGTCTTTCATATTCAAGAAAATACCACTTGAATTTCTAATACAAGTCAAAAAGACAAAAATAAGCAAACTTACATTTCGATGTGGAATTATTCACCCGTAGTTACTGACATTAATTCATAGAAAACACATATATAATTGTGGATAGCAAACCTACATTTACACAACTCAGAATTTATACATATGAATGTCATTTCCTCTAGTCCTAACTTAACTACTTGCACTGCTTATGTAATCTCAGAATCACACTTGTCAAAGTTATTCTTCCTAGTCCTAATTTCACTTGTACTGCTATGTAATCTCAAAATCCAAAACGTAAATGTCATCGTCTATAGTTCTATCTTTACTACTTGCACTTTTATGTAATCCCAGAATCACACGGGTAAATGTTATCATCGCTAATTCTGATTCCACTAATCAAACACGGTTAAAGTCCATCTATGAATACTCATCAGTACTCACAACAATCTAGCTCGACACTCAAGCGGCAGGAAGATTTCCAGCCACTGGAATACAACATTGGGCCTCTGGTACAAACATTGGGCCACAAAGAAAATGGCCACTGGAACGAAGAACATATCTACACGGCAGGAAGATTTCCAGCCACTGGAATAAACATTTGGCCACTGGTACAACATCGGGCCACAAAAATAATGGCCACTGGAACGAAGAACATATCTACACGGCAGGAAGATTTCCAGCCACTGGAATAAAGCATTTGGCCACTGGTACAAACATTGGGCCACAAAGATAATGGCCACTGGAACGAAGAACATATCTACACGGCAGGAAGATTTCCAGCCACTGGAATAAACATTTGGCCACTGGTACAACATCGGGCCACAAAAATAATGGCCACTGGAACGAAGAACATATCTACACGGCAGACGTTTGGCGACTGGTACAACATAGGCCACATGTATAAACTTCAGGTCACATATATAAATATCTGGAACGAAGCACATATGTACAGCAACAAAACATCGGCTGGGACAATAATCCAGCCTTAGTGGCCAGCCATAAGGCTGCCACCATCCGAGACCTAGACCATCGTGTGTAGGAGAGAGAGACCTCAACATAGTCGCCCTTCCTCATTTATAGGCTAGTCTTGTCCCCCTTATCATCTCCCTAGAGCTATAGAACCCGAGTTGGGCTCCGTGCCATCTCTCGACGTTCGAGATAACACCGGTCACTATGCACCCATGCGTTGCACGCCCGATAATTGACCGCTATAGATCTTCACATTGTCTCAGGGCTAACGATCGTGTCATACACCGCTCGAGCTAACGTACGGCCACGCGGTACTCCCGCAGCGTTTAACACCTGACAACTGACCACAACAGAGATCATGAGTAATGATTCTACCGAGACGTCCAGCGGCATGCCCGAACTCAACTTTAGACATAAATCACCGCGGGTGTCTTCCCATCATTACGTGCCACTCATGCACCTGCATAGAGCTCGTGGCCCTTAACGACCAGAGTGAGCCTATAACATTTAATTAAATTTTAGATTTCCCCTAGCCTGCTCATGCCCAATATCTTGGGTTTCTGTAACTAGTCCTAGTCACCTTAGCCCCTTTAATAAGCACCCAAGTTACTATTTTACTTAAAAATAAACAAAATAGTACCAGCCAACATGCTTACTTAAGAATCAACAATTTGGTACCAGCCAATATATATATATATATATATATATATATATATATATATATATATATATATATATATATATATATATATATATATATATATATATATATATATATATATATATATATATATATATATATATATAATATATTATATATATATATATATATATATATATATATATATATATATATATATATATATATATATGGGAGGGGGGCGCCAAACTGAATGTTCGCCCCGGGCGCCTGGAGGGGTCACTACGCCTCTGCACTAATGGATGTATGTGATACACATTAAAAAAGCATCATACAAGTTCTAGAGATATGATACAACACTAATAGATGTATGTGATACACATTAATAAAGCATTATATAAGTTCCAGAGATATGATACAACACTAATATATGTATGATACCATGCTGATACTTGTATAATACCATGCTGTCAAGTCTATATGCCAAATCTAAATTCTATATGTATACAAATGATATGCAAATCAATTTACCAGCAATTTCAACGAATTTTTTCCTAACTGTGGTCTCAGAGACATTTTCTCGTGCGTCCAAAATTCCTATCGACTCCAGGATTTCAGTGTGTTAAAAACTGAAATTATTGCCTTTAAAGTTTTAGTATTTCTACACGGCAGTCTAAACCTGTGTTAGTATAAGCATATTTTCTCACTCATAACACTTGTTATGGAAACACATATCACATTTTTAAAAACCAGAAAAATAGTTGAAACTTCAGCAAAAAGTTATGCAAGACAACGCGTATGTATACACTTTATATATGGCCCAAACTGGCGATATAGGCCTATTTACTAGCAGGGGCTGATACTTTGCAGTTATGTCCCTTAGTGTGCTAGAATTTAAAAATACATCTGGGGATTTCCCTTTACCTGGCGTTGGCCATTATAATTCCTGCATAGAAAATGTTAACGAAAAATGTGTATAAATCAATCGTTTCACCAATGAAGTGAAACATCAGAGTTTAGAAAAATCCAAAACCTGTCAACATACAATGTTGCCCATGTTTGTACCGAAAAGAAATATAGGACAGGTATGATGGACGAGGTGGAGGATTAACCGACGCCATTTTTTATTCGATGTTAAGAAAATTCTCATTGTTCTTGAGTTTTAACCTATTACGAGGGGCTCAACAGAGCGGGGGGGGGGGTCATTTTAGGTCAGCATGTTTGTCGAGTACATTTATAATGTCTTTTCCATTTTCTGTTGAATTTTTAACATTGTATGTCAGTAAATCGTATATCATACATCGTTTATCATATATCGTACATTAAACATCGCACATCGTGTATTGTTTATCGTTTATGGTATATGGTTTATCGTTTATTATATATATATATATATATATATATATATATATATATATATATATATCGCACATCGTGTATTGTTTATCGTTTATGGTATATGGTTTATTGTTTATTATATATATATATATATATATATATATATATATATATATATATATATATATATATATATATATTAAGAACAAACTCAAGACAGTATATTATAAACAACCCTGCTATACGGTATATTATAAACTAACCCGCTATACAGTATATTATAAACAAACCCGCTATACAGTATATTATAAACAATCCAGCTAGACAGTATAATATAAACAAACCCGCTAACAGTATATTGTGAACAAGCCAGCTAGACAATATGAAACTCTTATAATTCGGTGTGGTTTATTTCTACTCGAACCTAATCCTACCTTTACACTAAAAATACAGATGTGAAAAAAAAATCAATGCAACGCGGGGGTCATGGGATATAAATTAATATCTGTCATGCGGTGTTTTGTGTTACATGAAAACAGATATGTCTAGCACGGTTTTATCGTTTAATCTTGTATGAAACTTACAACACAACGCAAACACTTCACATGCAGAACGTATTTGAGTTTAGGTGCTCAATGGTGCGTGAAACTAGAAGAAGGAAGTTCGCTTTATCGCAGAATCTAGTGTTAAAGCTACATCATATCGCAGAAAAATTCACCATAAGCCTGATGTGTAGTGATTATGCGGGCCAATAGCTTTACCTAAACTGAATTTAAATCGGGTGACTAATATAACTTTACATACCAAAACTATTTTAATGTCAATGAAAACTTTACCCACCCACTATATTTAAACTAGCTGCATACCCGTGCTCGGCCACGGTAAATCTTTTTTAAATTTACCAACTTGGGAACATAACACAAACACAACACAAACATAAAACAAGCACAAACACAAACACAACACAAACACAACACAACACAACACAAACACAAACACAACACAACACAAACACAACACAAACACAACACCAACAAAACTTAAAAGAAAACACAAACACAAAGAAAACACAAACACAAAACAAACACAAATAAAAACACAAACATAAAAGAAAACATAAACGCAACACACAAACACAAAAGACAACATTGATAACATAATCACAACTTAAATGCAAAAATAAACACATAGTGCTCACTGTCTAGCACGTAGCGCCAAATCAAAGTGCCCTGTCCAAGCACCGGCGGACGCGCCTGATTCACTGAATGGTTATAACTCCCAGCTTGTTCGCAAACTGAAAGATAGAATAATAATTAGTAAACAGTACGTTCAGTGTATAAAATATATAAAAGGCATTATTTAAAATATCCGTGTTATACAATCACATTTTTTAAATTAGCGTGAGTTGAATTTATTTTTAAATTACCTCCCTAGGCAAAACTACAAAACAGTTTAATGAATTGTTTTTTCGACCCTACTGTTATTAAAATGTATCCACTTTTTCTAGGAACCTAAACGAAAATTATATTGGACATTGATCCGTTTAACATGTTTTAGTAATTTGCGTGGTGTATTTGATATTTTCTTCACGTTATGCGAAAGAGTAAAAACAGTGGCAACTATAACATAAATGTAAGTCGTTATATAAACAAGCCCTACTCTATTACATATAATAAGATACTGCCATGCAAGTAAAAAGCACGACATGTGATGTGTTAATTGTATGGTTCCAAAATCTATAGCGATGACGGACTGACACACTACCAAGCAGCTTATAATATAGATGTAATATATTAGATAAGTTACCTCCCAATGCATTATATTTGTAGTATCTAATATAACTTTATCTACATTTGACGTTTATAACATCATCTTGGCCTGGAGATGTGATTATCGTATCATAATATAGCTCGGTGAAAACTTTAAAAGATTCTAGAAAGATTTCCTAAATATTTGGCATTCGTTAGATTGGCTTCAAAAAGTGAACGGAAATAAGATTCTAAACCCCTTTTATTGTCTTTTTTTTTGTTGACAGACACTACATTTTTATTATTTGACTGACAAAGTCGTACTACACTATTATTTTTCAACATCTACTGTGGTCTTAATTTATCTGGCAAAGTGTTTCTACCCTTTTGTTTAAAACCATTCTTTGTTTTTATTAGACTAACGAGTGGATAATTATTGTGGCCTTTATTAGATTGTCTGCGAAGTCATTTGAGAAATTTAAAAAATCGATACGATAGCATTCACTTGATTAGACATAGGAGCGTTCGGCTTAAAACTTTTGAGATCCCCCATGTAGATGGGTAACAACCTAGTCTACCCTGACGGCTTCAACATTTTGTATGCTGCATTGTTACCCCCTATATCGCCTTTTTCTATATGAAAAATTTAATCAGACGCAGCTGAATGGCACCTAACAAAGACTGCTGTGTAACCAGATCTCATGGAATAGAGAATTATCACGCCCATATCTAGAAGGTACTTCCTTCTTGTAGTCATTGTATGTTTTATTACTAGCCATAACGTAGACCTGAAGATCTTGACACAAGGAAGGGATATAACTCTGTAGCCGTCCTGTAGTTAATGTTTCCTCGAACATTCGTTCGATAAAATTTGTTACTTGTTTACAGTGTCAACATTTTATGGTACTTAAACGTTAATAATCTACACGAATTAACATTACTTTTACGATATTGAAAACTTTCAAATTATCATAAATATGTGTCATAAAAAATAAAATTTCGGGTTGTTATTTTATTGATGTACCTACGTGAGATAACGCAGTGATAATTGTCGGATTCGGTTATTCTAATGTATGAAATCGCCTTAATGTCATCTCCAAGATCACACTTTAGAAAGAAGAAGAAGCCTTAATAGAAGGCCGGCTTTCTCTCTTTGTATAGACCTTCTTTCTTCTTCGTTCTTGATTATTAATACGCGTCAACTGGTTATGCGTTGACACCGATTTCAGCCTGTTTTTCTTTTTGGATTTGCTTCCATAGCCTTTGTCTAACCAAGAACAAACAGCAAGGCAGCAGTTGTTTGAATAATGAGTTGTCTCTCCAAGAAGAGTTGCTGTCCCATGCAATCAGGCCTGAACTGAACTCGACATTTTTCGGCTTACCGACTCGACCACGCCGATCCCACTTCTAAAAATAACTTTAAGATTTACAGTGAATCCGGCGCAACATAAAAACCGTGGCTTACAGTAGCAGATAATCTTACTTTCTTCTTACCATAAAGAGTTTTCTCTCCTAGATGAGTTGCAGTCCCCAGCAGTGGAGCCTCATCTGCCCCAAGGTTCGAACTCGAGACTTTGTGGTACAGCAACCATGAGCTTTACAGACTCGACCCCCCCCCCTTTCCCTCTTACCAAAAATGACGACGGTTTTCACACGGACAACAAACTATTCCTGCTACTACTTCTTGTGGAAGTTCTATGCACTGTTACCTGAGTTCGCAGAATAGTCGTATCTCCAGTTGGTACGTGGGTCAAGACATAAAGTCAATGCAATATGATATTAAATTTGACTTAATTGGTTGCCTACTTAATTTTTTATGAATTAATTAAAATTTTGTCCAAATTAGTAGGCTGTCTCATCAAACTATTCCGCACTATTATATACGCGTCATCACGTTCATTAGGTTTTTAGTCATGCAACTCTAGTGTAAATAAAACATGTAAAGTACTAAAAAAAATTCATAAAGAACGTTTTAATAACAAGCTTTTATGTAATAATGCACTAAAAAGTAGAAAATAAATTATACACTACTATTTAAATAACTATAAAGAAAAGCGTGGGTCTCTTCCTAAATATTAGTAAGGGTATCCAAAAGATACTAAAGTATTTTTTAGTGCATTCTTACATAAAAACTTGTTATTAAAACGTTTTTTATGACATTTTTTGGACTTCTTTATTTCATTGTTAGTCAAACTTGTAAAGTCGATTTTTATTACAGTTGTCTGTATAAGTTAGCGACGTCTCAGAAAAACCCTCGCGAATCGTAATTTGGGAACCAGTGCCTTAGGCTGTAGGTCTACCTATTTAGTTGGTGGTTGTGTGTCGGAAACAATCTTATTTTGTATGTATTGGAAACGGATGAATTCGTTGTGTATAGGATTAAATGCAAAATTTTACTTTTAATAATATGACTCACATTTTTTAAATTTTATTTTTTATTTAAAATACTATTGTTTTGTTATTGTTTGAGGCAAAATGTTAAACTTTTCTGGGTATAAGATCATTCAGTTTTAAAATGTCAAAATGATTTTTGTGATAGATTCTGGTGACAAATGGAATTGTATGTCTCCAACACTAAAATGAGGTCGAAAGTACTTGCTATTCTCTGCTAAATAATTACAAAAAAAATTATAAAATATTTTTTAACGTTGCTGAGAGTAAAGGAAACAAATTTCTCTATAAAAGATTAAGGGCATCTTTTATTTCATGACGTTAAAAGATTAACAAGTTCGTTTCTTAGATCGGTCTTATTTTCATCTCGGAGAAAGTGGCCGAAGCATAGTGACTTGTTGTCTGTAGCCAGTTGACACCCATGCCGTATGTCGTGTTTCCCCAAACGCCGTTTAGATTGGAGCTGTGACAGGTGTTGTACCACCAGGCACCATGGAATTTAGAAGCGCAGCTTTCTGC